AAAAAAAAGTGTTAAAAAAATAAAAAAAACAATCTATGAAAATATGAAAAGCATATAAAGAATGTGATTAAAACAAAACACACTCAAATGACGTTGAAAATTAATGAAAAAAATGGATTTTAACGAATCGATTTGTGTCAAGGGGTATTTTTTAAAATTTTCTGAAAAAGATGGGAAAATATAAAAGTATCATTGACCAATTTTTTTTTTACCGTAATGTAAACAATATTAAAATAGTGTTGAAAAAATCGACTTGACCAAAGAAAATGAAGCAAAAACTTAAGTAATATATAATATAGCCCCTTCTTTTTGTCGACTGTAAATGGTGTATTAGTTAGTGGGTCTAAAAAAAAAAGATTCGTTTCCAGTTCGATTCTCATGGGCAGTAAATGTTTTGAATTTCATGGGCAGTAAATGTTTTGAATCAACGACGAAATGAATTCGAATTCTTAAAAGAAAAAACACAAAAATGCTAGGATTAGAACCATGATTCACATGCAACTTAACCATCAAAGCTAACCAATAAAACATTCTAACATATTTAATATAAATTTGGAGTAGTATTGTATGTAAAGTTTAAAATATCGGTTGATCACCAAAACCGCCCAAAACCGGAACCAACCTGTGACAAGCCATTGTCTGGTTCCGATCTAACAGGGCAGTTACCAGTTAGATCGGTCAGTTTTGTGAACATTGGTTTATATACACCAACCCCATGTTTTGTTGACAAGAACTACCCTAACCGTGCTTGTCACCTGCACAAAGCTATCTACAGTCTCAAACAAGCTCCTCGAGCCAGGTTCACTGGTTTTAGCTCTTATTTACTAAAACTTGGTTTCTTGTGTAGCTCATCTGCCACATCCATGTTCATTCATCATGGCTCCCATGGACTCATTATACCTCTTATATGTTGATGACATAATACTAACAGGGGTCGATTCTCATTTTCTATTTGTTGTTATTGTTAAGCTTTGCAACAGGTTTAAGGTTAAAGATTTGGGTGACCTCCATTTCTGTCTTGGTATAGAGTATGCTCTTGATCTCCTTAAATGGTTAGCTATGCTTGATGCGAACCCTTTCTCTTCTCCAGTCACTTCTACTTCCAAGCTTTCTCTCTATGATGGTGATCCTCTTAGTGATGTCTCAAGCTATTGCAATATTGTTGGGGCATTGCAATACCTCACAATGACTCGATATCACTTATGCAATTAATTAGGTTTGTCAATCCATGCACCAACCTCGCACCAAACACCTCGTTGTGGTTAAACACATTCTTCATTGTATCAAAGGGATTTCTAATCTTTGAATTACTATAAAAACGTTATTATGATGAGAAACTTCAGGCTTACTCTGATGTTGATTGGGCTGACTGCTCGGATAGTCATCGTTCTACTTCTGACACGTTTGTTTTCTTTGGACCGAATCTCTTGACTTGGCACACAAAGAAGCGACCTGTAGTATCTCGGTTTACTGCTGAAGCAGAGTATCGTGCTCTTGCTACGACAACTACAGATATTCAATGGACTATCTTTCTACTTCGTGACTTGCATATATTTTTACCTTCTTCCCCGGTGATTCACTGTGATAACGTCGGTGCCACATATTTAGCATCCAATCTGGTACTCATGCACGAACTAAGCATATTGATATTGATTATCGATTCATTCGAGAACATGTTGCCTAATGTTCATTATGTATTTCGGTTTGGTCCCAGCTTTGCACAAATCGGTGATATCTTTACCAAAGGCCTATCTCCTACTCGTTTTTATTCTCTAAGAGACCATTTGCCCATTCGTCCAGTTGCGCGCCATCTTGTGGGAGGGTGTTGAGAGAAAGAGCATTTGACTTTGGAAAATATTATTTGAGTGGTTAACATATCTTTGACATTTTTTGGTTTGTTGTAAATATTGAGTGTAACCATATCCTTAATTTACTCAGTCAAGGATCCTTATCCAGTTGTTCTTATATACTATTATATATTCCCTTGCTGTACCACTCAATTAATTAGTAGATAATTACACATTCACTTCATAGTGAATAACACTCTCTTTATAAAATTTGACAAGTTGATCATTTTTCAAATACTCAAAATGATCTTATATGCCAATCACTTTTTTTTTTTTTTGCATCTGTACATGGTTAAAATGATCTCTACATTTTTATGTCATGATAAGAAATCAAAAGTCCATAAAAAAACATCATACCATGTTGTAATAAGTATGTCTACAATAACAAAAGTTTGAAGGTATCGAAGAGTATTGCCCTCACGATACCTAATCAATTGACCTCTACGAGGGGTTTGGACAATACTGTAGGCGTCTTGAAATTGCCATCGCCAACTTATGATGCTTTTAAGCTATGAAAATTTTAGTCATAGAAACCATCGTAATGGAACAAAAAAGATTTAGAGATCCTCCTGATATGTTTGTCCCTTTAAGTGGTGTTCCAACCGCTATTTTGCTTCTAGGAATGCTAAATTTTAAATTTTAAATGAGAGTACAATGAAAGTGAAGCCCTCACGTGAATGTGATTACACAAGAAGTGTAAGGGGGATTGGATTCCATAGGGCTTTCCCTGAGAGATAGACATAGACTCTTCATCTTTGTCACATGGCGGTCACAAATCACAATTACTCCTAGTCAAATAAAATGGCTTGTGGTGTGTCACAAAATTTGTGAATTTTTTCTGAACTTCGTGTCTATTCATTGAAATGACCACCACATTTGAAATTTAATGGGTAATAATGATTGTGACCTCTTTATACTGAAAGTAAATGGTCTATTTGAGAATGGGCTTGGGGTTGTGGTGGTAGTATCACCTGAGTCCCAGTTAAAGGTCCTATCATCTATTGTCACTAACTTTAAAAAAATTGACTCTTTCCAAAATGGGAATGTCTTAGGAGAGACCATTTACTTTTCAAATAAGGTGGTCACAAATATGGTGGCTGTAAAGATTTTAGCTTCATCCAGAATCACATACGAATAACTGGAAATCCAGGTTATGCTTCGGTTGCAAGTTGATTTTTTAATTAATATTTTCTATCAATTTTTCATCCCCTCCTTCTCTCTCTGAAAAAATGCTTATCCTTAAAACCAATCAGTACTCTCTCCCCAAACCTCTTTTCTCTTTAAAAAAAACTCATCCTCACAAAAAACTAATTGCATGCAAGCTCAAACCTTCCCTCTTGTTGAAAAAATCCCTCCCACCTCTCTCTCTCTCTCTCTCTTCTTATCCATTTTGGTTTCTTTCTCTCTTTATGGGGTTTTGAGGTTTTTTTCAATATTTTATTATTTATATGTCTATGAGCTTATGAATTTTACTCTCTCTCTCTATAGTTTTCCCTTCAACCTCTTTGGTATCAGTAATTCATTTGTATAATTTCATAACCTTTTGAATTCTAATCTCTCTCTCTCTCCACACACACAAATGATAACAAAAAAAAAAAACACGAAAAAACTTGCTTAACTGTTGTGCTCCTTATTCTTTCGATTTTCATTCGTCCATTCACTTGCACCAGTTATCTCTCTCCCTCTCTCTCTCTCTGTCTCTTATATTTCACGCACCTGGTAATAAATTAGGACTATTCTCTTTGTCGCTCTTCATCATCCATTCATTCACTGACAATATATCTCTCTCTCTCATCTCATTATTTTGATTTTCTTTCATAAGTTGTCACTCTCTCTCATCTCGTTCTTTTGATGTTCTCTCATCATTGGTCTCTCTCTCTTCATACATTCATTCACTAATAAAATCTCTTTATGGTTTTGAAGAGGGAAGATGAGGGTTTGTGAGCGTATGTTGTCTTCACCCATTCACACAGTAACACTATCTCTCTCTCTTTGGTTTTGAAGAGGGAAGAAGGAGGTTTGAGGGAGTACGTAATTTGTTTTTGGTGATGGTGTGTTTTTTAAAGAGAGAAAAAATAGGCTTGCCAATAAAAAGAAGCAAAATAGTCCCTTTAATTTATTTTATAAAACAAAAGTGTACCTCGAAATAATATGGTTGTTCAATATTCAATATTTAGATCTTTCGATAAATTTTTCAAACCCAAGACCCAAATTGTTACTCGACAATAGTCATGATTATTGTTGATTATTAAAAAAATATGGGTGCAGTTGGCATACAGATGCATCCGTAACTGTAGAGGTAACGTGCACTTTCAAATTTTATCATGGTATATAATTTTGATGTAAAATATTCTTAGGATTATCTCAAAATCTATTTTTATATCTAATTATAAAATTTTAAATTTCAAAAATGGTTAAAATCGCATAGATCTATAAACGAATGAAAATCTTATAAATGGATGGTGTAGATAGTATGTTGTAAAATGTATTATTTTTGAGATTTAATTTTTATTTTTATTTTTAATGGTCATACATCTCGATGTCGAGACGATCAATCAAAGGGTTTTCAACATTAAAACTACCTTTTCTGATGGATTTTTGAGGTGCATCTATAGTTCTACATTACAAAGTTGCATCTTTACATAAACTTTTTCCAAAAAATATATATAAAGTTGCAACCTAGAAGTAAGGTGCATATAAAAAATATTGTAGGAAAGAGTATTATGAAGTTCGAAAACCTTTCAATTGATCATCTCGACCTCGAGATGTATTTAAAAATAATAATAATTTTAAGTCATAAAAATATTGTATCTAGTAACAAATTATTTGGACTATCTATTTTTAAGATTTTAAAATTTTTTATATATTAGTTATGATTTGTAATATTTTTAAAATTCTAAAGTTTCATGAGACCATAAAAGTATACCGTACTTTTATAAAAGTACGCCGTACTTTTATAATATACAGTGGACACCTTAAAAAAAAAAAGCACAAAAAAACTCAACACGCGTGCGTAGATTATGCTCCTCGGGAGCATAATACCCGTGTGATCCGTATGAGACAGCGAAAGAGAGAGCGGGGTTTGACACTCGTGAGTGAGTGAGAGAGAGAGAGGATACATTACATTCGTTTACAGGTTTCTCTAGAAAGAGAGAGAGGATCCATTCGATTAGAGGTTTTTTAGAGAGAGAGAGAGGGGGCAGGTTTTTTTTGTAGAGAGAGAGAGAGAGAGGGGGATGGGGGAGGGAAATCCATTCTGTTGAAGGCCCAGAGCAAGGGGCTACATTGGATTACAGGTTTTTCTAGAGAGAGAGAGGATAATTCGCTTTGCAGGCCTTGATGGCCCAAATTCCAAGCTTGGACAATGCCCCTCTGAATCTCACTTCTCTCAGGTCTGAAAAATTTCATTCCTTTACCTATTCCAGTTTATATAATAAAACAAGCTACAATTCTCTGATTTTTTATTTTCTCTCTCGTACTTTCATGATCAGGGAGCAATCTCGAAAGGAGCTCATCAACATACTAAAAAATGTGAGTGTCCCAGTTTATCTATCGCCAATTTTCTTGAAAGATTTGTCTGATAATTTTTATTTGATCCCCTGACTTAAAATTATATGATTGCTTGATTTTAATTGAATTTAGATACGAGGAAGGAAGCTACTTCTTGTTGATCCCAAACTCAGCGGTTCTCTTAATCTCATCACACAGTTTTCACTTCTGAAAGTAAGTAGTGTTTTACTCAGTGTTTTGTCGTATAATTTGCTGCAAAAGATGGTGCTTTGAGTTCTATAGCTATCTATACCAATCATGGTATTGTTTTCCTTTAACCTTTATAAATCAATCCATTGGCTTGACATATGCGTTTGATTCTACGGAAATTGAAGTTTCAAAAGGTGGTTGATCAGTTCATCTCAAAACTATTCTGTAATTTAGTTCATATCATTCATGTGTGGCATCTAACCCTTGTATTATACTTAATTGCATTCTTGGACCTAATTAAATTATGCAAATGGAACATGCTTGAACCATTTGCCTTCCAAATCCTGCTCCACAAGAAAAAGGGACAGACTGAGAAAAAAAAGAACAAAAAAAAGTGAGAATTATGTTTTGTGTTGAACAGGCTCGATTGGGTTAGCGTCAAATGCTCATAATATAAACCTTCCACTTTGTCCTTTTAGTGTGAATCCGTTGATTACTTAGTACCGCAGCTTAAGTGGAAGCCTAGACGAAGATTGAATATTTTGCAAGGTAACATTCTTTAGGTCCTGCTCTTTCATCTGGAAATGAAGCTGGAAGCACACTAAAGGAACATTTAGGGCATTATCCAACTTGTTTTCAGCAAAATCTCAGTAACACACTCCATATAATTTTCTTTTTTAAATTATTGACACTATGTCAATTTATAGATAACTGCAATATGTACTCACAAGAAGTGAGTGGATGGAAGCGACAAACTGGATCCTCTTCTACAAAAAATGATTTTGTTTAATCAAAAAAGAAAGAATCAGAGGAGAGTTGTAGGTTATCTGCAAGATGGAAACTCTGCCTCTTGAGAAAACTGATGGAGGGTAACAAAGAAGAAAGGAGCGAAAAGGTGTGATGGAGGATAGACTGGGGAAATTGGCTAAATGAAACGCAGCAAAGGTATATAGTGAGGGAGATTGGGTAGGAAGGTAGAAGGGAAGACAGGGAGAGGGGGAGAGTTGGAAGAAAGCCTATGTACAATTTATAAAGAAAAGCTAGGAGGGGTGGGGGGGTTGGCAAAAGGAGGTGAAGAGACCTAACTAGACTAAGTGTCAAAACAGATTGGAAGCCACCCACAAACCAGGTGCTCATCTTCTGGGATGGGAAGAGAGGTAAAGTCCGTTCCAAGTCTAGTAGAACTGGATCAGAACCAAGAAAAGAAGTGCTGGGTGCTCAAAGAGAGAAAGAAAGTTGGCAACTCACAAACCGGGCTCTTGGAGCAAGAGAGAAAAGGTGAAAGGGCAGCCAACAAGCTGGGTGCTCAGTGTAAGAAAGAAAACTGGCCCACACTCCATATAATTTTCTTTTGTCTAATAAATAGTCCAAATAAATCTGGCTCAATGTAGTACATGGACTTTAATTTGCCACTCAATCCAATTATTTTCTGGCAGAAAACCATGAACACTATTCATTCAAGTAAAATCAAAGTAGTCATTTTGTTACTTCTTGAAGCCTGGATTCACTAAATTAACAATTCTTTACTTCTAAAAAGTTACATTCTCCCTTTATTATCAACAAAAAGGCTAGCATAGGGCTGGAAATAGATTTCCAGACCATCACAGGGGTCTCTTGTTCCGGAAATGCATTTTTGGGGTTTTGAGATGCGGCTTTACTTTTATCGTAGAGCCTAGGCCTTATGCTAACCGCATCCAGTGACCAAGTGACCAAAGAACTGTCATTTTATGTCAAAGCTTTGATTTATTGAGTTATATAGAATCTTCCTTTGATTTATTTTGTGGTTTTTTCTTGAGGCTTAACGTTGCTTGAATGACAAATGCAAAACATGATATTACCTGTTGAATGCATGAAATATCTTTCTATATGTTCTTCTAATAAGTCTCTCCTCTTTTTATCCTTTTTTCTTCTATAAAAGAAAAAAGTTACTTCTATTTTTGTTGGAAGAACTTATAATGGCTTTGTCCCTGGAGGTGCAATTCTTAGTTACTCCTCTTGATTGTTATATTTTTGTATAACTGACAGGAACATGCTGTGGAAAATTTGCGGCATATTTTGGGAGAGCCTATTCAATCTGATTGTAGAAGTATACTTTACCTTGTTCGCTCTGAAATCAATTTGATGAAGTTTATTTCTTCACATATTCAACATGATGTTTCCCAAGGACTTCAAAGAGAATATTTTGTCTATTTTGTTCCTCGCCGCACGGTCGTATGTGAGAAGGTAACTTTTACTAATGTCTTGTTATCACCTTCAAATGTTTGCTGATTGGGGTTATGAGCATTAGTATTTATGCATATCATTTGTGTAGGTTGGTAGATCTGCTTGATTATTAGAGATTTTCAGCACACACACAAGAATTTTGTTAATTTTGTTGATAGATTGCCATATGAAGGTATAGTCTAAGAAAGGTGAGGACCTTAAATTTTTCCATAACCTGTCTCAAGTCCCGGGTAAAGGAGGTGGGTTGTGTTAGGTAAGCAGTCAGCTTAAAACTTTTCCACATCTTATCATGAATCTTGAACCTATTTCATGTGAAGGCTCTAAAACAGTAAGGGGCCCAAAAAGACATGGATAGAAGTAGTGAGAAAAGATATGGTGACCTTTGGTCTTACTGAGGATATGACCAATAGAGAAGAATGGAGGAACATGGTTCATGTAGCCGACCCCAATTACTTGGGATAAAGGCTTTGATGATGATGGTCATGAGATTGCCATATGAGCATTGGATGTGTTATGTCTAATTTACATGTCTCATCCCCAGTTTTCTCCATATTGTATTGCTCTACTGATGCAGACAAAAATTGGCTCTTTAATTTTTTTTTTATGGGTTATTATTACTTTTTTAGGAAGTGGGAGGTGGGCATTGAAGGTGGTACATTTTTGTTTTTGGCAATGCTTATCTTAGATTTATCCTTGAAAATCCATTTTATTGAGTTTGTTAAAATGATAGAAGTTTATCTCTTAGATAGGATATGGACTTGGGATAACGTGAGCATAAGGAAAGAAGTCCTCTTCATATGGACTTAGGATTTAGAAAGAGATTTGGGGGCTGGATAAAGAGAGATCCACATGAGGAGAGAGAAGCTAGGGATAAAGAGAGATTCACACGAGGAGAGAGAAGATAGGGAGAGAAAAATCATAGGAAAGAGAGAGAGAAATAGAGTTGTATTTTTATGGGTTTTTTTTTTCTTCTAAGTGTATTTTAAGGGAAGAGGTCCCTTTTTTGAAAACAAATTATTGGGGCTTGAGTAAAGAGTTTGATCTTGTTGGACGGCCAAGCTTTGTATGCAGAAGCTATTGTAGGTCCCTCACATTGTAATGCTTGATCTTCTATTTAAAATCTGACTTTTTGGTTTCATTTCCGTTTATGTGCATTTAGTGGTTAGGGATTGTATTTTTGTTGCTTGTTTTATATTTTGTGCTGAGGTGTTTCGACTTTCACCTTCAGTTTGGTAGAAATAAAGCCTTTATCTCCTTGGGCATGCCCATAAAACAGTTATGTTTCTTTGTTGCAGATTTTGGAGGAAGCAAAGGTGCATCAGATGCTCACTATAGGGGAATATCCTTTATATACACTTCCTCTAGATGAGGATGTCCTATCCTTCGAACTTGATTTTGCATATAAAGTATGTAGCTCTTAGGTTGAAAGCATGGCATGAATCAATATATTCTTATGAGTCATCACTACTAATTGTGTACCTGTCCATATAAATAGGAGTGTCAGATTGATGGTGATACAAGCTCCCTTTGGCATATTGCTAAAGCCATCCATAAGCTCGAGGTGTGTGCTACAACTGCAACTTTCTACGATAGTCTATTTCTGAAAGAATAGTGTAAAACATGTGGATGAGAGAAATTTAATATGTACTAGAGTTGTTGTGATATCTTTTGGGTTGAAGTTCTTTAAATTTCTTGACTTCAGCACCATTGACTTTTTGGATCACTTTTTGGATATCTCATTTGCTCTTACATGAAGAATTAATTTTTTGTTTATTAACACAATTTCTTTTCTGCTTCAAATGTAAGTACATTCCATTTGGTGTTGTAGTGGAATCTTACCATGAATTCTAGTTACCTGGATTTCCTCACATTGGTGGCGACCCCTGCTCACAGAGTGGGGTTGCAGTCTGTTCGCGATTCCATACCAGGGGAAGTGTGATCCCAGTCCAATAGGAGTCAGTCAACAAGTTTGCGCACCCATACTTTTTACATTTTTAAAAGAAAAAAAGCATAAATGCATGCCAATCAAAAAAATAATGCAATATATGCATATCCATAAGAAAACATGAATGCGGAAAAAATGAAGTAATAATTATTCAAATCCATGTTCCATTTGTTTTCCAAAGAGGAGATTCTAATAGCTGCATCAGTTGGAAAAAGAGTTTTAAAATTCAGTACTCCCAACATCGCATTAACGTAGGGAATGGTGGTCCAACTTTTGCCACAAATTATTATTGGATTTTGAGCCATCATCTTTTTAAAAAAGTATACAAGAGAGCATGATGTCTTTCTTGTCTTTCTCTATATCTTTCTCTCTCTCTATTTCTGTATTTATTTGCTCTCCAGACCTCATGCTTCGATTTTTATTTTCAATTGAAATGGAAGCGGATATGTGAAGAAAAGGGTAAGACTTGTAGTAATTTCACGAAAATATTATTCTTTATTATCATTTAGAATGTAAGATCAAATAAATAACTTTAATATATTGTTATGAAGAACTCATATTTGAGATGACTCAAGCAAATAAAAATAAGTTAATACTCTCAAATATTACGACTAAATTATTTATGAGTACAACCAACATTTCTAATATATTAATTTTATATTTAAATATTATTATAAATTGTCATTAATCTTTTATTTTTTTAAAGTTTCTCCAAATTTATATCTTAGTTCTATGGGCACTTTCAAACTCGGGAACTCATAGCAATCAGTGATTCTCCAATCCTGCTCCCATTCCTGCACCACTCCTGCCTCCAACAATGATGGTATGAATTGAATCATCCCCGTATTTAGCGATATGTACTCCCTTCTAGTGTATTCCTTGGGCTTAACCATGATACATACTTGTACGGAGTTTCATTCTCCATTTTAGAATATGAGCGTTGTTTCAATCTGTCTATCATCCTTGAGATGAAATGCATACCACTATCAGGTTTAGAGGGCAAACTAGTTTGAGTTGAATCCAACATTGTTAGGGAAAACACTCATAAAGGAACTCCAGAAAATGCACAAATTCCTTATGGACACTAGAAGAGGGGATTCCTCGTAGGGCGGTAGTGTCCTTTTATGATCATACTTGTGGAAGGTAGATTGTTCGAGAAAATTGCTCTCTGAGATGAAATACATACCACTATCAGGTTTAGAGGGCAAATTAGTTTGAGTTGAATCCAACATTGTTAGGGAAAAAACTCATAAAGGAACTCCAGAAAATGCACAAATTCCTTATGGACACAAGAAGAGGGGATTCCTTGTAGGGCGGTAGAGTCCTTTTATGATCATACTTGTGGAAAGGTAGATTGTTAGAGGAAATTGCTCTCATAGTGATTACCATGTTAACATTGCACGAACTTGTGAATCTTTGTATGTGCTTAAATCCCACAACAAGCATATGGAAAGGCCTAATTTTTCTTCTTAGGGTTTTTTTCCTACCTCTAACTGTACCCTTCTTTGCTTTCTAACAAAGTTTTATTACTGGAATTTTGTGTTTTTATTCCACTTAAGATGGTTATGATAAAATTTGTAAGATAACATTTTTAGGATATTAGGCCTTTTGAATTTTGATTTTTGAGTTTGGCGTACCCATGGCATGTGGGCTTCTTTTATATGAGAAATAGACATATTTGCACTTCTTTTTCCCCGGGCTTCTTGTAACTTATCAAGCTTCTTTTTTTCATTTTTCATAGCTTTTTCTCTCGTTCCACTCTCTCTCAAAACCCGTGTTATTTCCTGTAGATAGAATCGTTAAAGAGAGTCAAGGGTTTGATGGAGAGAGGACGGATTTGATGGGGCCAATATCGGAGGGGGAGGGAAGGGGGAGAGAGAGTGTTTTTATGGGGAAGTAGCTTGATTGGGAGAACCAGAGTGCTGTTATTTTTTTTGGGGGAGGGGGGAGAGAGAGAGAGAGAGAGAGAGAGAGAGAGAGAGAGAGAGAGAGAGAGAGAGAGAGAGAGAAGAAGAAAAGTAAGAAGAAGGAAGGAAGGAGGAGGAGACGTAGACGTACGTAAGTACGTAAGTACGTAGTTACGTTACGTTACGTTAACGGTT